GTTTCGACAAGGTTTTGTCATCATCAGGTACCAATCATGAGGTACCTGATGATGACAAAACCTTGTCGAAACGTTGTACATTTGCTGTCATGTTAAACTTATATTAAAGTTTTTCTTCATTACCCATTTAAGCCGTCTCCAGCCATTATTAGTCTCAAAGTGGGTTCCTCGTCATCGAATTATTCATAAAGTTTCCCTGGTGTTTCATTAAGGACTTCGGTCATCAAGCTATGTATATTAACTACAAGCCCGTTATATAAAAGATATTATTAATATTGTACGTGTATTGAACAACGGCGTATTGCAGCGTGACTAAGAATACACTAAAACATATCTTAAGTAAATCAAAATCGCAAATTTAAAAATATAGTTGGCATATTTTAATCATTCTAGCACAAAGCTATACAGTGGGCTATCTGTGCTCTGCCCACCACAGGTATCGAAACTTCATACTTAGCTCACTCGCACATAAGGCGACGTTAGAGTTGAAAAGTAAAGTTATTTTCTTTTTTTTTCTGCACAGCTCTCGCCCTTTTTTTTGCTTCTCGTCGTTATTTGTTCTTTCCCTCTTTTCGTCCTTCATCTTCATGATTATAACTACCATTTATGCACTGAGATCAAGAGATATATATATCTAAAGTCTGAAATATATAAATATTTGAATAGCGAACGCCGTCAGGGGTTTTCAAGTATCCAATCAGCTCATAGAAAACTTGATGAAGCACTAAATATTAATACAAGCACTATTACAGCCTCTTCCTACCACGTCTTCAAACACCTAACTTACCTCTGAACTTGTCTTCATCTAAATGTACCTTGAGAATTTATATGTGGATATATATATATGTATATCACAACATAATTTCAAGTACTGACGAACGAGTTTACTCAAGATCCAGATAATACAACAAAACCAAACTCAACACCCCGTTCTTTATTGTCTTTCAATATGAATTCTTGTTTTTAAGCTGACCATTTTTGTGTGACCTCCCTGAATTATCCCCTGAATCCCATTATAAAGTGCGTAATTCTCCCCTGAATCACATTCTACAGTGCTCAAATTTCCAATGGAGCATATTCTAAAGTGCTTAAGACTCCCTTAAGTTCCATTATAAAGTGCGTAATTCTCCCCTGAATCACATTCTACAGTGCTCAAATTTCCAATGGAGCATATTCTAAAGTGCTTAAGACTCCCTTAAGTTCCATTATAAAGTGCTAAAGTCTCCCCTGAATCCCATTCTAAAGTGCTCAAATTCCCTACGAATCCCATTCTAAGGTGTTTAAGCCTCCTGAATCCTATTGTAAAGTGCTTAAGTCTCCCCGAATCCCATTCTAAAGCGCTCAAGTTTTCACCGAATCCCATTCTAAAGTGCTTACCTTTTCACCGAATCTCATTCTAAAGTGCTTAAGTCTCCCCCGAATCCCATTCTAAAGTGCTTACGTTTTCACCGAATCTCATTCTAAAGTGCTTAAGTCTCCCCTGAATCCCATTCTAAAGCGCTCAAGTTTTCACTGAATCCCATTCTAAAGTGCTTACCTTTTCACCGAATCCCATTCTAAAGTGCTAAAGCTCCCCGAATCCCATTCTAAAGTGCTAAAGTCTCCCCTGAATCCCATTCTAAAGTGCTTACCTTTTCACCGAATCCCATTCTAAAGTGCTTAAGTCTCCTCTGCCAGTATCTTCAATAACTAAGATACCTAAATAATGGTCTCTTACAAACTATATTATCAATAATTTTCGTCTTTCTAAGCGTCAGTGTTCGTCTATAGATCTATCTTCACCATTTCCGGGTCGTAATACTTATCTTTAGCACTATCTTAATGCGTACATATGTTTTCCGGGTCCTGGTATTATTCCCAGTGCTGGTTATTTTTAGCACTATATTCACTCCATACATATGTTTCCAGGTCCTGGTATAATACCCAGTGCTGGTTATTTTTAGCACTATCTTCACTTCATACATATGTTTTCCGAGTCCTGGCATGATGTCCAGTGCTGGTTATTTTTAGCACTATCTTCACTCCATACATATGTTTTCCGGGTCCTGGTATTATTCCCAGTACTTACGGTTATTTTTAGCACTATATTAACCCCATACATATGTTTTCCGGGTCCTGGCATGATGCCCAGTGCTGGTTATTTTTAGCACTATATTCACTTCATACATATGTTTTCCGGGTCCTGGTATTATTCCCAGTATTTACGATTATTTTCAACACTATATTCACTTCTTACGTATGTTTTATGTCTTTATGTTATTTTTTTTAAATGCCTATAAAATAATTTATATTCAGAAATGTTAATATTTCGTCCGACTATTTGTCGATTGAAAGGGAGCGCGTGGTAACAGAACTCTAGATTTCAGAGGTGACTAACCCGGTTCGAATCTGTGCGATACCAAAAAAAATATTCCTCGCACTTGAAGTTGTGAGTACGTTATAAGAGTGTCAGTCAATACCTTACTGTGGATGTTGGATGGTGCTAACTGGCTGCCTTCCGTCTGGTCAATGGTTTAGAATTAGTGATGGTAGCAGATAGCATCATGAACTTTGCCACAAGTACAATTTCAAATCGATCTTTGAGATGGATCGAACCGACTGCTCATACGAACTTGTGAAGTCAAGACAGCTAGCTACCTTGTTTTGTTTTTCTTAGACAGTGGCTCACTTACAGTTATTTGATATCAAGACGAAACACAAGGGCGAATCGATGTCTTAAACTAAAAACTGAATTTTCTAAAGTTATTTTTGAAATATTCTAAACTAGTTTTTAGGTTGCACGTAAATAAAGTATTACTTGTCACTTGGAGACAGCATTTCAAGGTGCTATTGTGTTCATTATTGGCTTGAACGGATCAGGTAAATATAAAATATATCGTTTGTGGCAAACGCTGCAAGATGGGATCATATAAAGAGCAAACTATTCATATATATATATATATCAAATTTTTTCCCAAAGACGTTTACGTTTAAAAGATGTTTCATGAAAGAAGGTTAAAATCTGCGTCTATAGAACAACAAGTGGCTTTGTAAAATACTTTAGCTTATCCAATAATATCGACAGAAACAAAACCGTAAATGAGTTGACTATCACCCCTAGTCGTGTTAGATTAAAATAGCAAATAAAGAAACATCGTTTTGAGCCCCCTGAAAAAGAACTGGTACTTAATTGGCTTATATAATCCGGGAACTTTTGTGGTCCGTAGTTTGATACCCTCTTGATCAACAAACTAATATGAAAGCGATACACTTTTCAGTTGTTACTGCGAATCCGAGGGTTCAAGATTCGCGGTCCTTTGCCTGAAAAATGCATTGCGCACTTTGGGACCTTGGGCGTGCTAAAAGAGTGACAGTCATATCTCACTATTCGAGTAGAATAGCATAAGAGTTGGGGGTGGCCTGATGCTGACTAGCTACTTTCGCCCCTGGTTTATCAGATCAATATTGAATCAGCTATGCTCAAGATAGTCCTAATAATCATGTTGTTTCAAAGAGTAGTTTAGACATTTTATTTTAGTAGAGTTTAGGCTATTACCTATTTCTGGAGTGGGAAGACTTCTACACTGAGGCCTTCTTCAGAGCAACTTATGTCCGATATCCCACTGAAAAAGTAACTTATTAGATATGACATTTTGAGCTAAAAAAAAAGCTGTTAAAAGTGTGAAATGAAAGAATGTTTTTTTATGTCATTAGTAAGGCAAGATTAAAATCTCTGTCGAATAAACCCGTTAAAATAGTTTAACATATGTTGAAAGACAGGGTTAAAACCCTCTGTCAAAATTACTTTTAAATTTCCATCTCCATATCTTCCATTTTTAATTTCATTTGCTATACGTCATATTATCACAATGCACTTTATTCAGTACTTCAACTCATCAAACAACTAGTCAACATTACTTTGTTCACTACTCCAAGTTATCAAACAACTAGTCAACATTACTTTGTTCACTACTTCAGCTTATCAAACAACTTGTCAACATTACTTTGTTCACTACTTCAGCTTATCAAACTAGTCAACATTACTTTGTTCACAACTTCAACTTATCAAACTACTAGTCATCATTACTTTGTTCACTACTTCAGCTTATCAAACTAGTCAACATTACTTTGTTCACTACTTCAACTTATCAAACTACTAGTCGTCATTACTTTGTTCAGTACTTCAACTTATCAAACAGCTAGTCATCATTACTTTATTCACTACTTCAGCTTACCAAACAACTAGTCAACATTACTTTGTTCACTACTTCAGCTTATCAAACTAGTCAACATTACTTTGTTCACTACTTCAACCTATCAAACTACTAGTCATCATTAATTCGTCCACATTCAGTTTCACACCACCCAGTCCTAATTAACGTATCTCTGGAATTGTAGAAATGAAATATTTCGTCATTTCAAAGAACCATATCAAGCGTCATTGTATCTGCTTATTGTCCTCGTAAATTATACATATACGTGCTTGCTGTTCTTGTAAGTTCAGCCTCCATGAATGCAAATCAGACATCTGATGTGAAAAAAAAAATACTTTACTTACTTCTTCCCGATATAAGTTCAGATAACTTTCCTGGAAAGTCAACTTTAGTTTTGGAAAAATAACATCTTTTGTTATAACTCTCAATTGTAGAGATAAAACACTGCTCTAAGCCTAATGAGAAAAGGTGTTCACGCTGTGTTGATGTGTGAAAGTTGTTCACACAGTGTTGGTGTTTTAAAGTTCTTCACACAGTGTTGGTGTTTTAAAGCTCTTCACATTGTGTTGGTGTTTTAAAGCTGTTCACACTGTGTTAGTGTGTGAAAGTTTTTCACACCGTATTGGTGTTTTAAAGTTTTTCGCACAGCGTTGATGTGTGAAAGTTGTTGACACAGTGTTGGTGTTTTAAAGCTGTTCACATTGTGCTGATGTGTGAAATATTTTCACATTTAATTGGTGTTAAAATTTCACACTGAGTTAGTAGTTGCATTCGTAATGTATTAGTGTTTAAAAGTTGTTCACTCTACTTCGGTGCTTGTATAATTAGATTTATGTAATAAACTCTTCCCCCATTTCGGATTACATGCTGGAGCATCTTTGCAGGATTCTTATCGACAACTTCTCAAAGATTTCCATATTACACAAACATTATTAGGATATCCTGAGAGTCAACACTATAGAGTTAGTTCTGCTCTATACGGAAACCCTTTTCATTAATTACTGTACCCACTAAACCCAAATTAATAAACACATTTCACTATCATAAATTTACATAACTGCTAAAGATCCGAGATCTTTAACTCATTCTACAGAATAGTGATGAGACGTTTTCTACAACAAAATAAGTTTATTTGTAGTCTTGATGCACTCTGAACTTATTATCCATCTCTTTCTGAAGGCCTTCTAAATACTAGTGATGGAATGTCTGATTATTTTATATCGTTAATTAATTATTATCCATCTCTTTCTGAAGGCCATCTAAAATACTAGTGATGGAATGTCTGATTATTTTACATCGTTAATTAATTATTATCCATCTCTTTCTGAAGGCCTTCTAAATACTAGTGATGGAGTGTCTGATTATTTCATATCGTTAATTAATTATTATACATCTCTTTCTGAAGGCCTTCTAAATACTAGTGATGGAGTGTCTGATTATTTTATATCGTTAATTAATCTTTTCTCCCTTAACCAATTTAACGTGTTTCCATTTTTATGTGTACAGTATTGATTATTAATATCTAAAATATTTATCAGTAATGTCTGTAGAAGTTCACAGAACAGTATATAATACTGTAGTGATGGATAACGTCTACAGTAATGATTGGTGATAAGTGTAATACCGTATTGATGGATAACGTCTATAGTAATGATTGGTGATAAGTATAATACTGTATTGATAGATAACGTCTACAGTAATGATTGACGATAAGTGTAATACTGTATTAGTGGATAACGTCTACAGTAATGATTGACGATAAGTGTAATACTGTATT